TAACGCGTTTAACGCATGTTTGTTTGGTGGTGCCTCCTCCGGCCTGAGTCCCTGGGCTGGGGGAGGCTCTGCTGGTGGGGGAAGCTGCAGCGAGTTATGAGCCTGGAGGTGTAAGAAGGAGAAGCATTTATTTATCATCGGGGCATCTCCTGGGATTGGGAGCACAGTGTCAGTTTAACGACATTTAGGGCTGCCCGAGCGGGTGCCTTCCTCTTTGGAGGGGGTTTGCTTTCAAAAACACCTCTTTTGGTGTAGCAGGTGGTGATGGTGCGAGCCAAATGGTAAATAAAGACATTATAGGTGAAGTGCAATAGAGCTTGCGTAGCAGTGCTTGTTCCGGGGAGAAGTTTGGCTGATTAAATATGCTGAAGCCTACATGTCTGATGTAATTTATGTGCTGGACCTTCAGGGTTTTTAATATAGAGGCTGTTGCTATGTTGCAATAAAAGCCTTCTCAAACACTCAAAAATAGTTTTGCAGCTTGAAGCTTCAGAAGAATCAAATTGGAGGCTCTGTTAGACAAATATACTGGAGGAGAGCATGCCCTGATGTTCTTGATCTTCCATGCCTCTTGAGTCTTTAGAGCTGCCAACATCTCACCGCTAGTACCTTAGCTTGGTAGTTTCTTCAGAATAAAGGAGCTGGCCTAGCCTGAGCATAGAGCACGCAATCGGAGCGATGACGGTGGGAATAACCGTGTGGTTCTGCATCTCCTCCGTTGTTCACTGGAAGCACACATATGCAGCTGTACCTGTGGAGTAGGAGCTTCCTCCTCCGCTGAGCTGTTTGTAGCAACTATAGCAGCAGGCATGTGTACCTGTGAGGAGGAAGATTAGGTAGCAGGGAAATGATGTTTTTGTGGTGTCATTTAAGGATGAGAGAACACTGTGCGAGGCCCCTATAGGTTAAATGTTTGACAGCTTCCCTTGAAGCAGAGGAGTAGGAACCTTTCTGATACTGTATCTTGGAAAACAGAACGAGGGTAGAAGGAGAGAAGGAAAATTGCTTGGAATAAAAGTAGCAGTAAATATGCCAAGATATCATCCAGGGGACATCATCTGGGTTGCAGGACTACTTGGAGACAGTTGTGAGAGAGACTCTAGAAAAGATTGCAGAAAACAATCAGGAGCTTCCTGAAGAGAACTGTTGATTGTACAAATACGCTCTGTTGGTGTTCCATGCCTTCTTCAGAGAAAGATTTGTAAAATGCTGTTACTAATGGGGAATTTCTTTGTTGGTAAGTAGCTTAGGCCATCAGTTTCTGCAGTCTTTACGTTCTTATTTGAGGTACTAAATTGTAACCTGTTGGCTGTGGAGGTTAATCTGAGGAGTAGTTGTGAAACTACTGTAGACCTACGTAGTGTTGACTTCCGAAGACTGCAGAAGTTGGTCTGACTGTATTTCTGCTTACAGCTAAGGTTCATCAGCCCCAGAGCAATGTTTTTAAGAATAAATTATGTGTCATGGATTACAAAGACAGTAACGCAGCTTCAGGAGTGTTTGGTTTATACTACTGCTTCTGTCATCTGAACAGGTTAGGAACAGCAGACTATGATACTGAGAGCCATTTAGTTCTGTGTGCTGCTGTGTGTTGCCTCTGAAAGCTCTTCCTTTGGGGAAGAATGACTCTACTTAGTTTCACAAGCTTTGAGCTTGATGCCTGCTCTGTGTCTATCGAAAGTTTCAAGTGTGTTCTTTGGGGTGTAGGGACAGTGAAAAGGAATTGAACAGGCTGACTAGATATCGTCAGCCATGATGTCGTGGTGTCATCTAACTTATTTCCCTTGTAGAGTGTACAATTGCAAGCAGCTCTTTGGTTTTGAAGAAGGGGCTGCTCTCTATTGGTATTTGGCTTTTGGGATTAACACTACACCCTGTAGTTTGGTTGGGTTTGAATTATTGCCCCATTCAAGTGAAAAAGACCTGAGCATGACTTTGGAAGTGATTCTGTCTTACATTGTTTAGACCAAGAAAGTAATGGCAGTCATATAGCTCTTGTAGCTTGTTATCCTCAAAATCCTTTTGTAGCATCCACATGTATTAAAATGATGTGTACATGTGTGTATATATATATTTATGAAACATAAGTAGGCTTTATTCCTTAGTCAGTGGGGATAATCATGCTACTGAGATGTGCTGAGATACCACGCATAAGGTGCATACACGCTGACCTGCATTGGTAAAACTAATTGTGACATTTTAAAATAAAGGTGTGTTTTTTCACACCAGGAGCTCTTGTCGTTGGCCAAGAGGAAACGCAGTGACTCTGAAGAAAAGGAGCCACCTGTGAGCAAACCTACAGCATCCTCAGACTCTGAGACATCCGACAGTGACGATGAGGTGAGTTTATCCTGTTATTGGAGAAATTACTGTGGGTTATCTGTCTGATTGTACCAAAGCAGTGAAAGTGTATTTAACATCTGGTATATTTAGCCTGCTGACTTTGTGAAGTGGACTGGCCACCAGTGGAGCTGGTGGAGACCCATTAAGCCTAGAGGTTGTGTACTCAGAAATACTTTTTCTTTTGATTAATATAGTTTGAATTGTAACTGTGTACAGAAGAGCCTGAATGTCTTTAGAAAAGATGACTGCCTGTTCAGCCCGTGTTCACATGGTCTGAGTGGTCGGGTGATCTGCCTGCTTAAAGCTCGTGTTTTTCCTGCGTATCGCCGGTGGTTGAAATAGCAGCAGAGCTGCTAAAGCTGGACTCTGAATTCAGGGAGAGAGGTTTTCAGCTTTAGAAGAGAACTTCCTTCCTCTGAGAAGAAAAGGGTCAAGGCAGGTGGTAAAACTGTTCTGTTTAGCTGCTTTGATTCTCAAAGAACTCTGGTGGGAACTAGCTTTGAACATTCAACAGAGTGTGTTTTTAGTGACGTTTTTGAAGAAAGTGAGGCAAGGAAGAGTTTAGCATTACTTTGTTCTGGGATTTTGTCAATTCCTTGTATAGAGGTGCTTATCTGCTAGAACTGTTTTTATTAGTTGTTCTTGATACTACATTCTAGAGCTGGTTAAAAGTCTCTGCTTTCATCTATAAGTAAAAATTGAAACAGACTTACTAAAACAGAGGAACTGACAAACAGGTCGTACAGGTATTTGAATAAAACCACTTTCCTGAAGGCTTACAAATGGCTTTTGCAAGCTTGCCACACACTGTAATGAGGTCATTTATTCCATCTATCCTTAAAAAGTTAGCAGGGAGCTGTTTGGAGTGGTCTTTTTTTCTGAAGCTACAGGAAAGATTGTTCATGGTGACAACTTGAAGACGAGTAGGGTAGGCCAGTGATAAACTGTTAACCATTAAGCGTCTGGTAGTGTTAGCAGAGTTCTTGCAATAAGTGTAAAGAAAGTGTGGCTTCATTTTCTTCCTGAAGTATTTTTGAAACATACATGTTTGAAACTCTGTTTCAATCAATCCTTTAATTAATTGAAAATAAATAAATAAATAAAGTGACTCTTGCATCTAATATATGCTTAGGACGTAAGGAGAGAGGAAATTGTGAATGGACTAGATATATTAGGTTTGTTATTGGGTGACTCCTCAGTCTGTAACTGTGTGTATTGAGCTCTGCTGGCGCTCAGCTTATTTATTCTAAGCTGTGTGAAGACCAGCTTGTCTGGAAAAGTAGACTTGGGTGTAGAGAGCACGTTGATGATAAAGCCTTCTGGTTTGCGTTTATCTCTGAAAGCTGGCAGAATAGCTAATGCTATTATTTTTTCTTGCTTGTGTAAACTGCAAGCAAGCTCTACCTTTCCATTACATGTAGAATATGAGAATATATCCCTTCATGAATTCACACAGACCTTGCAGATGCTGTAGTATCTTAGTTGCACAATGTGCTTATTTTCTGATCTGTGTATCATTTCTGATTGATTCTCTTGTTCTTTATGACCTCCACACAGTAAGAGGAAAAGATTTAGAGAAGAGGTAATTAGGACACTTGCTTCTATTCCTGTGCCTGGAATATGTGTTCTGAACTGCTGCTCGTCACAGCATGGTGAGACAGGCTGGGTTATGACAGTTCTGCTTCTGCCAGTTGTTCAGTTCTGCGCATCCCTAGCCTTGGCTACGCTACTTCTGCTGAACAACTTTTGTTTCAGGCAGGGCTCTTGTATTTAGTTTGAAGTTTGCTCAACCTTGGGGGTTGGGAGAGATGGTCTAAAAGTTGAAATGGCTTTGCTGGGCTTCCTGCAAGATGAGGACCTAGAGGCAAAAGTGTGGATATTGTTGCGCCCTGGGCAAATGTGCCCTGTGCTCCCATGCAGGTTTTGTAGTGTGCACGTCCTTTATCCTTTGTGGTTCTTGGCAAGGGCTAAAAGTTCCAGGATTGTCACTATGTCGCATGTACAGAAAAGTACATGAAAAAAGCCTGAATCCCTGGGAGGTTAGTGCTCCATTCTGCATTTTTAAAAGGAGGAAAGTTTGTGGGGCACAGGGGAAAGTACTTTTCAGAGTTGTAGAGTAACAGCACGAACAAATCATGGCACAGTCATACAGTGGTGCCGGAGGACTTTCAGTACATCTTTAGTGTTACGTTTTTGTGTGTCTCGGTGAGACTGTGCTTCTGTGAAAGCTCCTGGCCACACTAGGTGTGGCCTAATTACGTGTTACCACATTAGGTGATGCAGGTGCTGGGTTCTGCACCGAAGGACTGAATCAAATTGCCTAGCCAAAGGGCAGAAGGTGAGTTGCAAGCAATGAAATAGGAGGGATGCTCTGAGATGTCTCCTGGTGGGTGTCTGGAATGTGCCTGACTGAATTGGCTCTGAGCTGCTGTTCAGAGAGCTGATAAGTAGCCCTGACTGCACGGCTTTGCAGTCAGAAATACTGGCTGCTTTGCCTGGAGATACCCTAAGCTGGATCCAGATGTGGAGGCAGGGAATTCCTTTATCTGTGAAGCAATGTGTGGCCAAGACTACTCAAGAGCTCGCTGTCCCAAGCTGGTAGCCTGCAGCACGTAACCAGTTTGGTGTTAGCCAAGTTACTATTGGGGCTGCTGTGCCAGAGGTATGTGTGTCCACAAGGTACCCTCCTTGTTTGTCAGAGACATCATGTGAATGGTGTTCCTCACTTGCAATAGTTTAATTCTGGGTTCTTGCTCTTCCTTTCATCCTGGCATCACGGCTTACAGTAAGAGGAATCTTTCTGTTGCGTGGTGAATCCTGGCTGACTTCCGCAACAACTTCACTAACATCAGCGTAGATTAGGCAGAAGGACATGATGCTGCGGGAGCTCCTGTTTGTTTCTCTTGAAAGGTTTGTCGTTAGCAATGCTGCTGTAAGTTTGTGCATCCTTCTACACTTTAATGTTGTGAGGGGTTTGATTGTGCCTTTTAACAACAGCTCATGGATGATAGCAGAAAATACTTCCACGACAGGAACAGTTTGGATCGTGAATGCTTGCTACCAGTCTGGAGTTTAGCAAAGAATATGTTTATGCCTTTGTTTGCAAGTGTGCAGGTTCAGTAGGAAGCAGCAGAGCTGAAGATCTTTCCAAGAGCTATGGGACAGAGGAGGAGGTGAAAAGTGGCCATGCAGCTAGTGAGGAAATCTGTCTCGAGTAACGACTTTATGTCCCTGTTGTGAGGAAAGGACTTGAAAGTTTGGTTCTACTTACTGCACTTCAAGTTAGAGCACTCTAGTAAACCACAGATTAGCAGAAAATTGCGTATGTTCCTTCTGTTTTGGGGGTGTCTTTTGTGGCTTTGCAGAGATTATGATGCTAATTTCCTTTGTGCTTTTATTTCATAATACTGCTTAATTAGACCTTCAAGAATGAGTGGGTTCTCCAGTCCTGTGAGGCCTTTGCTGTACATTTTTTCAAGCTTAGGAAATTTGAAACGGGCTGTGCTTTAATCTTCTTATACACAGCCTTATAGGCCGTGTGCTTTGTAACTTTGACTTCTCTTGGAAGATAGTTTCCTTCAGCTGTTAATGGGTGCAACAGTAAAGCTTTCCTTAAGGAAGAGAGGTGCTGTTACTTTCCCCACCCCAAAAAAATGCAGGTGCAAATCTGAATAGTGCAGGCTAGTTGTATGGAGGCTAGCATGTCTGAAGAAGTAATGTGAACCAGCTGTGAACAAAATATAAAATCTGGTGTGCGAATACCTTCTTTAAATTGCAGACTAGAATGGGGGTAACTTCTAAGGCCTTGATTTATGTTCAGATTTAGGTTGTTGATTCAGAGTCTATAGGAGCTCTGAAGTTCAGACCAGAAATAAACTTGTGGAGATATTGGAATCAAATATGTGATTTTTAAGATTTTTTTTTCACTGGATGAACTTTTCCTTTGAATCCAGGGAGCAGTTTTTCCTCAGAACAATCCAGTCACAAGGCATTGTCCAATATCTAGAGAAGTCATGCAGCCTTTTTTAGTCCAGATGGTGCTTGCTGACTGGCAATGCTACAGCCATGCAAGGCACTTGGTCAACAAGTGTTTTATGACTGTTGCCATCTCCAGCTGTTTGGCTCAGGCTTCATAAATAAAACATTGTGGGTTTTCACAGCCAACAGCACCCCCAAGTTTGTTTGATTGTGGAGAGTGCTTCCTCATTGGCACTGGTATCTGCCATCTCGATGTTGTCACTCAGCAGTTCTTGCCAGTTCTCTGTAGATGGTCCCCTCAAAGTGCTTCTAAAGAAAATGTTAACTTGCAGATCAAACTGAATTTGAACATACTAGAGTTAGACTTTTTTTTCCATAGTTACCTGTAGTTACCTCTCTGTGAGCGCCTCTGAGCGCTACTCGGACAATAAGGGTGGATCAGGTGTCTGGTGATACTTTGGCCCAGGAGTCTTTCAGGTAGTTCCTGGCAAAGCCTCTTCTGTGATTTTAGAAGGTGTTTCCTTTATTTGCGTATCTCCCTTCCATTTTTATGGTTACTTTGAGTCTCCTCTTTTACGTCTAAAATAATACTTTAAATTTTGTAATTGTTGAACTGTTGTCATTGTGGAGGTCTTTGGGGTATCTGAATGACAAATGCAGACCCCAAAAGGCAGGAGAAGTAACCAGGGCTTTTTATTTACTATTTAGTTTTAATAGTGGTGGTAGAGAGCATTTTTCTTCTTTTATCTCCTGGAGTGCTGTCTCCAGAGTTCTCCCAGCTTTGAGAAACCCCGAAGACAGTAAATTCTGTCTTCATATCTGTGCTGCCTGCTGTTGGCTTCACATGGGCTGAAACTGCAGTTTGATGACTTGGGTGAAGGACTGCCTTTTGTCTTCCCTGTACAAATGGAGGAGATCGTAGATCATAGGAGAAGGGATGAAAGTTTGTAAGCTCAGCCAACGTTATTTACCTTGGCAGTGTGTAAGTTTATCTGGCCTAGGAAAGGAACGCCAGTGATGAAGGACCTGTTTTTGCTCTGATGTTGTAGCTTGTAATTTGCCTTTTGCTGTAAAAGCCATGTCCAGGAAGGAAGGACAGGTTGGATTCGATGTGTGTAAAAAAACAAATAAACAACGCAAAAAAACCAAGACAAACAAAAAACCAAAGCAGGGAGAATACCTATTTGCAAAGTCAATTCTCAGAGGAAAAAGCATTTAGGTACTGTGTGAATAGAAGAAAATAGGGACTTCCTGAGTAGTGAGGGTAAAACAATTCTACTGCATTTGCACTCTGAACTCACTCTATTTTTTTCTCCTCCATCTCATTTCATCTCCCTAGTGGGAACATGTTCCAGGTTTGCTGAGCTATAAATGATTTTCTTCAATCATTTCATGTAGTTGCTTTTGTGGAAGCTGACTTCTAAACCTGGCTAATTTCTAATGTGGGCTGGGTTAGTGGCAGTCAATTCTGGGTGCTGTGGCTTAGCTTGGACCTTTGAATTATAGAATTGTTTAGGCTGGAAAGGCCCTTTAGGATCATTGAGTCCAACTGTTCTTTGGGGAAAAAGGCAAGCAGTTAGCGCTGTGAACCTTGGAAGCAAGAGGAGAAATTGAAATGCTCTTCTGGCTGCTTCCTGTGAATGAGCCATAAAGCTCTGTTGTTTGATAGTATTGAACAATAAGCAGAAAGCCACACTGCAGCACACTTCTGCATGAGCTTATTTACTCGCTGCATCTGGAACCACGAAGGGTTCCAGATGGTGGCCGAGGAGGCAGCAGTGAATAGAGGGGCTGTTTAGAGAAGGCGTTATAGTCATGGAAAGCGTGTGAGAAGCGTTTTGACTGGCTTTGCCTGACTGGAACCTGGAAGAGGGAACCTGGAGAAGCTGCAAGAGGGGACAGGTTTTGGAAAACACGCTTTACCATTCGCTGTTTGAGATGTGTAGAGTTAAGGGAAACTGAGCAAACAAATGCTTCTGCTTCTGGCTGCAGGTTGCTGTGCAGCTCGTGGCTTTCCTATATTGTCTCCCTCTGGACCTGCTAATCTGTTAGGTCTTTCTCTGCTGTAAGAAGAAACTTGATGTTGGCAAACATCCTTTAGGTCCAGATGACAACTGTTGGTTCCTGGGCCTGCAGAGCAATCTGTGAGCTTAGAAGAGCCTTGTGCTGACTACACTCTGGTTTTGATGATTTTTTTTGTCCTCAAGGCTTGCTGCTTTGTCCTGTGCTTGTGCCAGGAATGACCAGGCATTCATGAGAGTTTAGGGAAGGTGAATAACCCCTGAAGCACCTGATTTGAATGAGGAAGGATTTGATTTTATGATAGCACTGAAACTGGGAGGTGACAACCAGTTACTGTGACTTAAGACATAGAGGTAGGTCACCTGCATAAACAAAACTGAGGTGAAGTGTAATCTCCAGGGAGAAAGAGAAACCAAAGAAAATTTCCTGGAATGGGGCAAATGGTTTGATTTTATTACTTTTTATTGTTCAAGAGGTCGTTGCACAGCTTTCTCTTCAGTCCTGTTTTCCTGGACCCAGGTTCTCTCCACAATTCCACTTGGGAGTCAGAGACTGAGAACGGTGATCTGTAACACACATATCTACAGCTATTAAACATTTTATTAACAACTGAAGCCCTGCTGTTTCAATCTGATCTCGACTTCTTTCATCTCAGCATGACCCCTCAAGGTCTTGATATAACTGTGGTGTACACTATGGCTTTCTCTGTGCTTCCTCCTTGCTTGCTGATGCAAGGTATAATTCGGTGTTAGAACACTGCAAAGGAGTGGCAGAGCTCTGGGAGGGAGGCATCTCTGCATCCCTGGTACAGTCCTCCCTGCTAAAGTTTCACTTTCTCACTGTTGTGTTCTCGCTGGTGTGCCTGCTGTAGGCAAGCTCTCGAACAAAGAAGCAAAAAAAGCACTTTTCTGCCATACCTAGGAGGTGATTTCTTAACATTGAGATGTGAGCAGATTCAGGCAGAGTACAAGCTTGTTCTTAACTGATCTGCATGGGCACAGTTAACCAGGAACGTTATTAGGCAGCAGTATCATAACACTGAACAAGTAAAACCTTAATGTGGAAGCCAGTAAAGACTTGAGTGCAAGCTTGGGCTGATGTAAAGCTGGGTAATTTCTGTGCAGTTTGTCACCTATTCTGTGGACCATAACAGGCTGGGGTGACTGCGTGGCGGGGTATGGTTTGCAGTCGGAGGCTCACCACTGAGTAGCTGTCTTTTTATCTCAGGAAAGAAACCTTCTGCCCAGCCTTTGGCAGATAATTTTGGATACACAGCTGGTGCTGAGATGGTGGCAAAGTAGTTGGTTAGAAGGTATGAGAGTAATCAAAACCTAGGAATTTGTAAAGGTGTTAGTAGATTGGGTAGTAGCTTGTAACTACTTGGCCGAGTTTCATTTAGAGCATTTGAATGCCAGGATTCTCTGAAGATGGTGCCTAATCAGGCAAAAGTCATCAAATTTGATGAAGTGATTCCTGCTTGCAGAGGTGGACTCGATACATCCCTCAGGAAGGGGTGAATCGGTGAGAAGCCTGAAGTTTGTGTGCATCTGAGATCAAATCTAAATTTATTTTTTTCTCCCCAGTTAGAGTAATTTTAAGTGCAAGATCTCAGTTATGCAGGAGTATTCGCTCATTTGAATTAGGAATGGGGTTTTTTAGTAGATGGCATGCTTGAACAGATGGTGATGTGCATGAAAGAAGAGGGTAATATACAGGTATGAAGAGGACAACAGTCTAAATATATCTTTGTTTAGGAAGAAACTGCTATATCCGTGGCAGTCTTGCAGCTGGAGGATTTCTAGGAAAGGAGTGAAGTGCGAAACATTGTAAAGCCTTACCAGTTCTGTTCCCTTCTGGTTTTACCCAGGTAGTTGGACAATGCAAAAATTCTGCTAAGCAGTCACACAAGATAAATTACTGGTTCTTCTAATAGGACTTTGAAATTTAGAGCTGCTACTTGTGTCTGTGTGGTGGTTAACTGAAGATATGATATTAAGAGAAAATTGAAATGAAGACTTGCCATTTGGTTTGTTTTGTTTTTTTTTATTCCTGACTTCTGTGATTCTGGTTTGATTCCTACTTGTATACATAGACGCAGGGAGTGGCACTACTGTCTGTGAGTGAGTGTGCTGTTGTTTTGTTGCATAAAAATACAGATGCTGTGTATTCTTGGTAAAACTGAGATTTTGGAAGGACTGTAATGTATGGTTGGTATGCTTTCGTGAAATCTGAAATCTGCCCTTGGATAAACTGGTTTTGGGAACACATCTGTTGCTTCTTTTTCACAGTAGTGAACTTCAGTTCACTGTTCGCTGCTAATCTTTGCAAATGCAGTTGGACACGATGTTTAAAATTATTTTCCCTGGAAAATGTTTTCAGTACCTCTTTTCGCCTGGTGGATGTTGCAGACTCTGAAGCCTTCGTTGTTTTTAACGCAAGGGTCCTACCAACTGTTGGCTTGCATTGATAACTTGATATTATTATTATTTTTATTTATTTAAGAAAACCCAAAAAAATGATACAACACTCCACCCCCGAAACCCAAAAAACTTTGTAAAATGTTTCCATTTGATAAATTTTCTGTTGGATTTTTATTTTTCCTCATATCATCCATTTGTTGCTCTCGGTTACTGGACTGTTTCTCAGTCATTTTTGCTCCAGTGTTTGGGGGAGGGAGAAGAGAGTGATGTTTGTGTCTCATGATCTCTTTCTTGGTTCTTCCCTTGCAGTGGACTGTTGGAGGTTCTAAAAACAAAAAAAAGGGAAAAGCGGGTAAGGCAGAGAAGAAAGGAGCCATGAAGAAGCAGATGAACAAAGCTGCCTCTTCAGGCAGCTCAGATAAAGACAGCTCGGCTGAGAGCTCAGCACCTGAAGAGGGTAAGATAGTTGATGTGCATCTGCTTACGGTGTAATTCCAAGAGAAGCTACTCCTTTGTGTACACTGAAGAGTAAATGTTAAAGTGATGTTAAAGACTACTTTCAAAGAGTGTTACTGGTAGTCTGGATGACTTTGAATCTTGCCGTGGCTTCAGGTGCCTATAATTCAGCATAGCAGTGCTGTAAGCACCAACACGAAACACTGTTTCGACTGAAGAATGTATGGCATATTTCATTACTTGACTTTCTCCTGGAAAATTCTTTTCTTCTTTCTACCATGTCCCATGTGCAGCATGGGAAACAGTTCCTTTATTCCCACTGATGTTATTTTCCCTTCCCAAACTTCTTATGATGACAAAGGGAGAAGTGTCTAGCAGTGCATGATGCAAATAGAGGCTCATCTCTTATGTATTTACTCTGAATTGGAATTCTTGTGCATTTGTAATCACATGGAAGAAAAAAATAATTACTATAACTTGGTCAGATTTTTTGTTTTTTTACGAGAATATTGAATTTGTTCCAATGCTGGGCAAACCCCCTGTGTTCTTTCCTGTTTTCGTCATGGCCGTGAAAATTTGTGGGTGGTCACTTGTGGTTTCAGTTGATACTTAAAAAAGAAAAAAAAAATTGAGAAAGAATATGAAGGAGTCTACTGTTTTAAGTGTATTAAGTGCACCAGAGGCAGAACCTGTCTGAGACATGAAGAGACTGAAGCTGTATGTATCGGTGCTCAGCAATTAAGTTTTTTTCACAGTGTAAACTTTAAGCTTACAAAGCTGAAAGTTTCCAGAAATACTGAGACCAGAATGGAAGTGAAAGAGAGAATCCTAATGGTGACTTTTGCATTTTGGTGTGATGTAGTCGATTAGGTGAGATAATCAAAGCTCTTGGACTTGGATCAACTTTAAAGGTGATGTTACCTGATATTATTGGGGAGTTGGCTGTTTCCTAAGCCTGTGTGTAACTGGGAGGACTGGTTACAGTAATGAAGCTAGCGCCATGGCCTTGCCAGTCCTGAGGGTAACGTGTTTCAGCTTTGTCTTGTGATGTTGCAGTCTTCAGATGATGAATTTTGATTCTTCAGGTTGCTGTAATGAGGAGCATTGGTGATGGTTAACTGTCATTTTAGTTGCGCACGCACAAAGTTGGGGATTTATAAGCAACTTCTCAGGGACACAAGCACACAGGCACAGAAATCTTAACATTAAGACCATAACACTAATGAAAGGGCCTCCTAAAATTTGCTGCTTCTACTAAAAATCTTCACTTAGAACCCAAAGTGTGTTCACATGCAGGACCACTCATCAATTTTTAGTGTGCATATCTTATGGTAATGAAGTATTTCTTCCCGTGTTTAGTTTTCATGATATATTTGCTTGTAGTGGAAGAAGAGTATAAAATTCCTTCTTGATTTTCTTTGCTAACATGCTACAGTGAAGTGATTGGGCTTTGCCCCAGCTGAATTTCACTGCCTTCTATTTTTGTTTTAGGAGAGGTCTCTGACTCGGAAAGCAACAGCTCCTCATCTAGCTCAGATTCAGATTCTTCATCTGAAGATGAAGAATTTCATGATGGCTATGGAGAAGACCTGATGGGAGATGAAGAAGACCGAGCTCGACTGGAACAAATGACAGAAAAGGAGAGAGAGCAGGAGCTGTTTAACCGGATAGAGAAGAGAGAAGTGCTAAAGAGAAGGTGAATTTTATATCTGTTGATATTTGGTAGAAAATTCATACAGGCTATGCGGAGAGTATGCCGACTGTGCTGTCATGTCTGGGGTCCGAGCATTCAGCACTATAAGCGAATTAAGCTTTTTTTCCCCCGCATAAACCGTCCTTGTAGCTAGTTGGGACACACAAAGCAGGAATTCTACATGTTCTTGTAAAATAAGATATCTGAAAGTTTCTCAGCCATTGAATACATGTGGTTCTGTCGACTCCTGCTGTAGCCGTATTACTGCTTCACGTGCTAGGTGACAGGCAGTCAGCAGAACTGCTTTCTCTTCTGCTTTTTTTTGTACTGGCCGTCACAGGCAGACACTGTGGGAAAAGGCAAACAAAGTGTAAAGATTATACGAGCTTCTGTAATTTTTCAGGAAACAAGGAACGGTAAAGCACAGAGAAGTGTTAGGGTTGCCTCTACATGGATGTGAAGCTAGTTGGGGCCCTGGGAAAAGAGAGATTGGAATAATGAGGAGTGGTGTTGGACATGCAATTTTCAAGGAATCCTTTGTGGATTTCTGCCTTGGGTGTTGTGGTTTTGCTTGTTACTGTGACACTGTCCTTGTAGTAAAGGTATTTTTCTTCCTGTGGGTCTAACAGAAAAGATTTGGCACACATGGAGTAAGTTTTCTCCAATTCCTTCCCTCTTCAGTGACTTCTCACTTTTCTCATTTGCTGAGAAATTTCTCCGGAGGACTGACGTGTCTTGAGTAAATCACATCAGTACAAGCTGCTGTCAGACTGTCCATTTGCCCAAGCCATAGTTAGAGAACTGCCTGTCTCTCTGTGGTCTTAATACTACTCTCAATGTCTTCTCTAGTCTGCTGCTCTCCTCAAAGGGATCAGAATGAGTGAAAGATTGGATTTAGAGCAGGTAGAAGGACACCATATTTTTTAATTTCACTCACTGTTCCATGGTAACTCAATGTTTGTCTTTTAGAATGAATGCTGGAGAATACTTGATGCAAACAAGCTGAACAATCTGAGCTTGAGTTGCTGATTTAATCTTAAACAAGTTTATCCTGTTCTATGTAAAGGGGTTGGCAGGTAGAACTGAGGGGATGGTGGGTAGTTATTTAACTTTCTGGTGAGTTAAATCTTCCAAAATGCTGTCTGGCTCTTTGTGCATTGTGCTGTGAGTTCCTTGGGATTGCAGCAGGCATTGCACGTGATACAATGCCTGTGCTCTGTGTGTAATGCTTCATGGTAAAGGCATAAAGAGCAACGAGCTCATCTGGTACTTCAGTTTCTTGTCTGCAAAATCCAAGTGTAACGGTCTGAAGAAAAATGGACTGTGTAATATGCATGTAGATAATCCATTTTGAATTTGAGTTATTGGAAGTTAAGGCTTTTTTTTTTTCCTTTTATTTGTCCATATGCATGCCTTAGTAAAGCCATGACCAGCCCACAGTGCGGTGGAAAATCAGTCATAGGACAGTTCCAGCAAAATCACCACTCTTCTGAATACAGTGGCTGAAAATGGATTTCAGGGTGATATATTTTGTGAAGGTAGAAATGAAAGCACCTAAACTGGACTGCAGAAACTGCCCGAGTCTGACTGGAGTAACGCTACTGAAGGAGGACTCTCTGTGACTTCTTAGCGATTGTTCTTATACAAGCTGGTGTCAGTAGAAAGGTGGAGTTTAAAGATGAAAAAGTTAGCATGACAGTGGCAACAACGAAATTTTTAGCTGTTGAGATTCAAAAGATGTGAAATAGCCAGTTGTTTTGAGAGTTGGAGGCAGCATGCAGTGGTCACCACACTGGTAAAGATGAAGATGGAGTAAGGACAGATTTCTGGGGAGTAGCCGTTACTATGGGGTCTCTGTAGCCTTTTGGGTTAGCTGTCTGTAAGCCTGCACTTTTCTGTGCTCAGATTTTCTTCACCTTAGTTTTCTTGGGGAATGGATGGGATGGCAATGGGGACAGGATAGCGTTAAAGGGTTATCCATCTGGGGCAAGTAATGGAAGAGGTCCTTACAGCCTACACACAACTTAAGCTATGGTAGCTTCTGAGCGATGCTTTGCTCATGAAGGGAGCAAGCATTCTTTCATACGTTCTTGTTTCAATATCTGCTGCTAGGTTTGAAATCAAGAAGAAATTAAAAACAGCCAAAAAGAAAGAAAAGAAAGAGAAAAAGAAAAAGCAAGAGGAGGAGCAGGAGAAGAAAAAACTCACACAGATCCAGGAATCCCAGGTACCAAATAAAACTGTCCTTAGTAACAAGTCCTTTCCCTTTGGCCACAGGAGATAGGGTGCTGCATCTCTCTGCCCCTAATGTTTTCCTTGAATGTCAAACAGTGCGGTAAGGGGGTCAGAATTGAGTTCATTTATATGCTCAAGCTATGTTTAGCCTTTCCAGTTGATTTAAAGAAATTAATGTATTTCGTCTGCTGAAGGGTGTGCTGATAACTCCTTTTAATGAGAAATTCAAAGTTGCAGCTTTATCTAGAGCTGCTGTGATAGTCCTCCTGTATGAGGACAGGAAGGCAACCGTTTGTAGTACCTTTAGCTGATCTTCTGTCATTCAGCCTGAAATGTTACCTGCACAGTCTTTCTTGCAAGTGAAAATTTGAGAGAGCAGGCCAGCAATTACTCAGCTGTTGTCTTAGTATTTTGCGTGCACATGCAATGGGAAAAATGCTTAGTTTCCGCTGGTAGGGGTGTCAAGGAAAAGCTTGAACAGCAGGAGGAGCAGAAGTAGTTGGTTTTCCACCTCCAGTAGAAAGAGGATAATACCGAGGTTTGGGATGAGTCCTCTAACTGAGCTGTAGTTTCGAATGGCTGAGTTGGCTGTAGTTCCAAATGGATAAGATCCTGCCCTTAACTATTTTTAGAGTCTGAGCAGATAGGCTCAGATTCATCTTGCCTGGCTAAAGCCATGTAAGAACTAGTTGGCTGTTGGCACTTTGTCACCTCTGTCGTTGCACGGTGGAGAAGGGCATCGCCAGCTGGCAAGTCACTCCACGTTATTTTCTAGTAAAGTAGGTGTTTAACATTTAAATCACATTAGGCAAGATGAGTTTTGCTCAACTCCGTCTAAGTGCGTGTATTTACTTATATAGTCCATATATATAATGTGTAGACATGTATTCACATATGCACATATAAAAGGATCTTATGCAGAGTTCTTTTCCAATGCCTACCAGAAATTACTGCAACTCACTTCAGATGACTGTCTCTTGCGCTTATTATAGAAGCTGCTTTTTGTTCTACCTGGTATTCCAGATAGACCTGTTAGAAAATATTAGAAGACTTAGAACATTTAAGATCTGGATCCCTGTTGCAAACTTGGCACGCAACCTTATTTCTACTTTAAGTATTTTTCATTATATCTTTGCTGAATAAGTGAAAAACTGATTAAGTGCCTTGATTTGGCCTTGCAGAAAGAGAAGTAAATGAGGAGAATATTCAACCATTTTTTCCTCGTTAGTTATTAGTTGCAGAATTACTTCCATTTTATTTCTTTAGCCTTTTTTAACTCTAGGAGGAGTTTGGAGACTAAAAGTTGGTGACAGAAATGTTGAAGTGTAAATATGTTCTTTATTTTTTAATACAAAGTAGAAAAAAGGAATATGCCTCAGATTGGTTTCCCTCTTCCCTAGCATCTGTAAAAACGATCTTGAAAAAACCCGATTTCAAAATGGGGTTTCTTAGTAGTTTCTGTCTGAAAGGTTTTCAAAGTGTGCAAACAATCTTTGTCTTAATGCCTTTCAATTTATGGATTATGCTTGCTGTTGAGGGCCTTTCTGTGCATGTTTTTAGGTCATGTCACATAACAAAGAGCGGCGATCAAAGCGGGATGAGAAGCTAGACAAGAAATCTCAGGCAATGGAGGAGCTGAAAGCAGAAAGAGAGAAAAGGAGGAACAGAACAGGTATGAAAACATGTTACTATTGCTACGATTCTTGGGGCATTATTGCAGCTTTCTGAAAGTGCTATTTCCTGTTTCTAATTAACATAACAATCGTACACCTTGGAATGAAGGAATTCCGTGTCTGTTTTCTCCTTGGTCTTTCACCCAACATGACCACCTAGGGTATTCAGTGTTTGCCATCACTGATGCTGTGTTCCTGCCCCTGCCCGTCTCAGAGTGGTATGAAAACAAAGCAAACTTTCATTGCTTTGATTCATTCGATGACACTTGGTAACATTTAGTTCATGTATTTGAATTGGTCGATTAGATTCTGTTACTTAAATCTCTGAACCATCCAAACCTTATTTATCGTACTTGTGCTACCTTGTCTACGTTTGCTTGTTTCTCCACTGGCACGTCACCTTGTCTGTCTTGCCACAGCCTTTGGGTCCAAGCCTTTTTGTTACTCTGTTGGGTTTTGTTGTGATCCTTTCCAAACATGACATTTTAAATTCTCTTCCCCTGCAAAATAAGAATGAGTTGTCTGATCATAATAGTTCTTTTTTGTATATCCGGTTGTTACACCCATCTTGAATTGCCACATACAGTCAAGTTGGGAGACTGAAGACAAGTACAACTGGGATTAAGATGCTTTTAAATACTTTGATTTCTCTCTTTGAATCTATACAATGGAGTGCTTATCTTACTAGTGGATTTGAACATGTGGCACTTGTATCCAGCATAAAATTAACGGCTATCTACCTCTTTAAAAAATCCCCAAACCAAAACCCCAAACCAATAAGTTTTCAGCTCTAAAAGGAAGCTTTAATAAAAAATTCACAGCTTGTTTTTCCTTGTTCTCTGTCCTTCCCCTAGCTGAATTGCTCGCAAAAAAACAGCCATTAAAAGCTAGTGAAGTATACTCTGATGATGAAGAGGAGGAGGAGGATGATAAGTCTAGTGAGAAAAGTGATCGCTCGTCCAGATCCTCATCCTCTGATGAAGAAGAGGAGTAAGTACTAAACACTGCACTATGACTACTTGTGTGTGTTCAAAACCAGAGATCGACTTTATGTAGACACGTGCTGTGCCAGGGGATTGTTTGAGGACAGCTCTGAAGTGGTTTTGCCTCTGGCCACACTCGCGTTGCTCACGTTTGAGTCCTTGACTTCTGTATCGTGATGCATGGAGCCGACGTACTTCGTGTGGGTTCGCAATTCAGTTCCCTGCTGTTACCTTTAGGCCTGTTTACACTGTTGTTTATAGATTTGTTTAGCAGCTACAGAACCCTGGCGTATTAGCAGGGCAGAGATGCGTGCTGGATTCTCTTAAAGCATTGGCTTGTAAACTGCCTCAGTGTGTGAGTCTTTGCACTTTGTGGGGCAGTGAGTAACAAGTTTACAAGGACGTGTAGCGACAGGACAAGGGGCAACGGTTTTAAACTAGAGCAGGGTAGGTTTAGGCTAGAGATTAGGAAGAAGTTCTTTACTATGAGAGTGGTGAAACACTTGCACAGATTGCCCGGAGGCCCCATCCCTGGGGACATCCAAGGTCAGGCTGGATGGGGCTCTGAGCAACCTGATGTCCCAGTTAAAGATGTCCCTGCTCCCTGAAGAGAGGTCGACGTAGATGACCTTTAAAAGTCCCTTCCAACATAGCACATTCTGTAATTCTAAGTCTGGGACTTCTCATTAAGCCTTTCTCTTGAGTGCTAAATTTGCATATCTACAGTCAATAAGTGCATGATGAATCATTCCTTTTACTAGAAACTGAAATAGTTAGCACTCATGCTGCACCTTGCTCAGGAGCCCTTTTTTGGTGATTATGTTTTGTTGAGGGTTTTTTTCATATTTTTCATTACATTTTTTTGCTCCTTCTCACCTTTCCCAAATCAGGAAAGAAGAAATTCCTCCAAAATCCCAGCCAGTGTCCTTGCCTGAGGAACTGAACCGAGTACGGTTATCGCGACACAAGCTGGAACGCTGGTGTCATATGCCTTTCTTTGCCAAGACAGTCACTGGCTGCTTTGTCCGTATTGGCATTGGAAATCACAACAGCAAACCTGTTTATCGGGTGAGTTTAGTTCCAAAGGATTTAGTTCTTTTTATAGTGCTCTAATACCATATTTGTGGCTTAGCAGTTCGCAGGTATCTGTGATTGTTTGAGTGATTGATACAAAAACATTGCTTATAACCAGAGAACATAATTGCTGCCAAAGAAGTGGAAGAGACTGGTTTAAAAATAAACAAACCTATGGGACCAGCTAGGTGGAGAGATATATTTAGTGAGAGAGGAAGCACCAACAGAGCCTGTTCTTCCAGCTTTGGTTCATGATGTCTTGTTTCATCATTTGTGTTGCAAACTGGAGTACAGGACTCTGCTTTGACCGAGTAAGGATGAGTAATGTACACTCCTTATTTCTCGGAATGATCCCAAGTTATTGCATGGTCTCAATTCTTTCTTTTACAAGGTGTTTCTAGTACATTGGTGTGACTGAGAGGATAGTTTTATTTTCTTGTTTCATTGGTGTAATTGCGCAGTGATAACATTCTCTGTTTAGTATATGAGCAGCACTGCTGTCTTTCATTTGGGACGTACGTTAGCCCAAACCAGCGTTAATTGAAAAGGAAAAAGGACAATTAGGGAAGTGTACACCACTTGGCCAGGAAGGCAGAACTGAGAAGATAGAAAAACTGCACCAAGCATTCAGGTAGTGTAGTTTGTCAACTTGAAGGTGATACATCCATCAACTAATTCAATACGTGAATGATGTACACAGAAGAGCCTGCCTTTCCTTTGTCTAGTTAGAGTTGTTGGTTAGTTTAAGGTTTTTCAACTCTAGTGAAAATGCTGAATATGCCTGATAAATTCCAAGAACACAAAAAAAAACCCCTCTTGCATCTTTCCTCATGTGTATTTTACTCTGTGTTACAGGTTGCTGAAATAACTGGTGTGGTAGAGACTGCAAAGGTTTACCAGCTTGGTGGTACCCGGACGAACAAAGGACTGCAGTTGCGGTAAGATGCCAAGTAATCAGTGTCCTTTTCATAGCAAATAACGTTCTCTGTGTGCTTTGGAGAGATGAGAGCTAAAAACCAGACTGGACCTTGCCATGCTGCTTACTGCTGGTATTTTGGGGTTGGGTTTGATTTACATTTTTGGTTTTTTCCCTCCGCTTGGGCATAATGGAAGCTATAAAAAAATCTCATGCAGGGCTTGTGATTGTGTTGACATCTGAGCAATTAATTTGCATTTGTAACCCATGATATGCCTCTTGAGATTTACAACTTTTGTCCACTGTTGTTACAATGAGATGTTAGCAACATGTCATTTAAAGATGTATGTGGTTGGATCTGGTGTACATGTTACAGCATAAAGTGGTGCTTTGGAGGAAAGAAGCGTTGGATTTCTCAGTTGTTCTTTTGACCCCTATAAGGATCATGAGGTGAAGATTAACAGTTACTGTACAAAACATGGACAATAAGACATTAACCATTTGGGAGAAACAGTAAGGTGTGTGGACAGTGCAAATGGGTGCAAGTGTGGAGGAAGAAAAAAAGTCTTATCTAAGTCTGACATGACATTCTTAGGCTGCCTCAGGAGAGAGCTGTGCTCTTTGAGTGAAATTTGCACCATAGGGACTAATTTTTATTTAGTATCAGCTAGTAGCGATACAGTCATTTAGCTGGTGGTGCCAAAGTAGCACTCTGAAGAAAATATTTAGGGATTTCTGGCTTTTGACTGACTGACAAATGAAAAATTAGGTAGGGATTGGCTCAAGCATTGCATAGTTCAACACTGCTTAAAGGTTACTTCTGGTGGTCCAAACATGAAGAAGCTTTGTGTTTTGGGTCACCAGAAGGAGCTGGATTTCTTTAGCTTGGAAGAGGAGGCTGAGGGGTGACCTCATTCATGTTTATAAATATGTAAAGGGTGAATTCAGAAGGACGGAGCCAGGCTCTTTTCAGTGATGTCCAATGATAGGACAAGGGGCAGTGGGTGCAAGCTGGAACATAGGAGGTTCCAGAAGAACATTAGGAAAAACTTTTTCACTGTGGAGGTGACAGAGCCCTGGCACAGGCTGCCCAGGGAGGGTGTGGAGTCTCCTTCTCTGGAGACATTCAAACCCCATCTGGACTGTGCGACCTGCTGTAGGTGATCCTGCTCTGGCAGGGGGGTTGGACTAGATGATCTCTAGAGGTCCCTTCAAATCCCTAGCATTTTGTGATTCTCTAAGGTTTATGTGTGAGATGTCTGTTGCCATTTCTTCCCGAGGGTTTTACTGCCACGACTGGGTGACTGTTTCCTGCAGACTCATTAGTATTCCTTTTCTATACTGCTAATAGCTGATACAGACTCCTGAACCGTGACTGACCTGGTTCAAGTTGGGAATAGATAGCATGTAAGCCACAAGAGCAGCCACAAGTGATTTTGGGTTTCTTCAGTCAGTTTATACCTCTAGTTCCAAGATCACAGCTCCGTACCTTCAGAGGAGGAATGTTGTTACTCTTTCTTGTTGCAGGCATGGCAGCGATTCGCGTGTGTTTCGTTTGGAGTTTGTCTCAAATCAGGAGTTTACTGAAAGTGAATTTATGAAGTGGAAGGAAGCGGTAAGTTTGGCAGACTTTTGTTTCTCCTTGACAGCCTTCTGGCAAGGGTACTTTAAGTGGAAAGTAACCTCTTTTGTGTCTCATGTTAAGATGTTCTCTGCTGGGATGCAGCTACCCACGTTAGATGAGATAAACAAGAAAGAAGTTTCCATCAAAGAAGCCCTCAACTACAAGTTTAATGACCAGGACATTGAAGAGGTAAACAGTGCCATGTTGTGACATGTGGCAGTGCTTAAAGGTGACAGGGACTCATGGAGTAGAGCACTAGCTGTTACAAAGCAAAATTATTGTGATATTTGCTTCATAATAAGAAGAAAATAAAAGGCTCAAAATGAAGTTGCCTACCTGGACAGAGTAGCTTGGTGATCCAGCTGTTTTGTCCTCACTGCTGCTTCACCTCATCCTTTGTGCCCTGGTATCTCCTCTTGAACTTGCGTTGCAGAGCTCTGAACTCCTAACCCAAAGATAGCAAGTTAGTTCTCAAGTTCTGAATAGTTAACAGCATCGCAATAGATGCATTTATCACAGTTTCTGTAGTTTAACGCTTGTGTAGTACTGACCAAATGTGATTAGCATCAGATTTTTTATGTTGTTAAGTGACTCATTATCAAGTCACAAATTAAAAAATGCAGCAGAGAAAGAGCGTGAGTAAAATTCTGTGGCAGTAAGAACATTTTTTGATGATGTTGATCTGTTGCTTCTAGTGTACAAGTATTGAAATAGACAATTCATATTTTCCCTGTTCTTGCTCTTTCACCTGCATCTTCCAGATTGTGAAAGAGAAGGAAAGGTTCAGAAAAGCACCTCCGAATTATGCGATGAAGAAAACGCAGCTCTTAAAGGAGAAAGTAAGAGATGAGATGATACCTGCAAGTTTAATGCAGTCTTTGATTTTGAAGATATGGAGCTTCTCTGGATTTTAGCCGTAGTCAGCAGTAAGCTTGACTTTAACCATACAACTTTAACCATACAACTACAAGGTGGATCTCGAGGTTCTGCTGTGTTCAGAACACCTAGAACCCAGCTGAAACTATTGCCAGCAATTACAGCCGTCTCTTTTTGTGTCCGTTAAGCAAGAAAGTCTGCTTTAGAAACTCTTTTTTCCTATTTTCTTTGTCTCTCCCCCGCTCTGAGCACCCCATAATGACATTTGAAATATGATTTTCTATACTTTTCAGAATAGGTAAAATGAAAGTTGTTTTTAATTGTCTTTTACTCAGAGGTGACTGAATTGTCACTTTGTGGCTGGTAATTTATATTCAAAAGGATATGCTGCTGAAAGATTTACTTGCCACTGAACTGTTTTACGTGTAGACTTCCTAGAACAAGTGCTGAGAAGCCAAAACCAAGAAGTCGACGAGCACTCTTAAGTACCTCCGAAGACAAAGCTAGACATAACACGTTTTGTTTGTACGGGCCTTTTTCAGGGCATTTGTGCTTCATATACGGTAAAACTTAAGAGTTTGCATTCATCTTTAGGTATACTTTCTTTGGTTTAACTGTATTGCATTATGATCATTTTATTATCATTTTACTATGCACGAATGTGTAAATTGTTTTCCTTTGGAGAAGACTGCAGTTGCTTTTTGTTGTCACCAGGTGGCAAAACGAGCTCCTTTTGTTGGTCTGAGATCTTTCACTTCACTGAAATATGTGGCAACTGGCAGTTGCAGAAATAATAATTATTTTCCTGAGCTGGTGAATAGTGATATTAAATTTTAATCAAACCTATAACTTAAATCATTTAACTGACTTGCTCTCCTCATGCTGGGACTACTATTCCTATGTCTTCCTTAGTTTGTAGGGCTTCAGAGGTTTTTCAAAGTTCTTCAGGGTAAGAAGGTCTTGTTTTGCCTTGAGCTGTAAAGACAGTTTAGCTTTTTGTGTTCTTACCCTGTGAGCTAGAACATTTGCAGCTGGAACAGAGTTGGCTGGCTAATTCATGGGTCATCACTTGTTTTTGTGACTAGCTCTGTGGTAGAGAGTAGTATTTAATGAGTTATTGTTTGTTGAAGGCTATGGCTGAGGACTTGGGGGACCAAGATAAAGCCAAACAGATTCAAGATCAGCTTAATGAACTTGAGGAGAGAGCAGAGGCCCTGGATCGTCAACGAACAAAAAACATTTCTGCCATCAGGTAAGAAGGAGATGTTGGGAATTTGCTTTCTTCAATAGTATAAATCAAAATATGTGGAGAAGAGAGACTAATACAGTAGTGAATCAACTGCAAGGTTTTCTTTCCTTCTTTCTTTCCCATACAATATGTTAATGAAATATGTATCATGATGACTTTATTAGCATTTGCTTATCTTCACTTCCTTATATATGTTGTTCAGTTAAAACTGTCAAAAACGTAAACTCTCTTCCATGTACCTGGGGTAGCAGTTGTGTTGCACTAGGAGTAATTTGTGGTCAGGATGAAGCTGCAAGAATGCTGTCAGGCGTTTTGTTGAGAAAGGATTGATTACTGACAGTCACTTTCTTTTTCTTTACCCCACCCTCCTTTTCTTTCCTTTCTTCAGTTACATCAACCAGAGAAATAGAGAGTGGAATATCGTCGAGTCTGAGAAGGCTCTTGTGGTAAATAGTGCTGAATTAATACTTCTGTTCAAGTAGAGATGAAATGATGCAAAGGGGGATAATTGCATGGTGAAGCTACTCAATTTTTTTTAATAAGCTATAAAATCTTTCATATAGGCAAATTACATTACTTTATCGCCTTATCCTTTTGATTAACTCAATTATCAGCAGATTACTGACTGTAGTAGTGACTTAGTGCATTTTTTTTTTTTACGGGAAAGAACTTGAAAAGGAGACATCAGAGAATAAAATAGTAATGGAAATATTCAGTTCTCTGCAGTGACACTTCTATTAAGGAAGAGTTAAGCTTGTTCACAAATGGTTAACTATGCTGAGATTTGTGCACCTATTTTCTGTGTTTTATTCAGTAAGGACAGTTTTGCCCTGTGCAGCACAGGGCTGCACGCGTGTCAGTCTTTCTAATCTGTAACACTATTGCTGGTTTCCCTCCAATCTTGTTATTATATATAGCTGATGAGTGCTTCCATGGGCAGGGTGCTGTAGGAGGGGGTACAAGGGTGCAAGGAGCTAATGCTGCAAAACCACATGTCTTTTTATTTGCTTCTTCAGGCTGAAAGTCACAGCATGAAAAACCAACAGATGGACCCCTTTACTAGGCGGCAGTGCAAGCCCACGATAGTGTCTAATGTGAGTAGAATCCTTAAAGTTTGACTGAGGCAATTTGTGGAGAAGCAGAAACCAACATAATACAAAGAGCAGGAAGGATAATGTTTGTATTCACTCCCAACTATGCCATATGCTATTAATGCAGGGTGAGATCCTGGTCTCACTATCTCAAAAGAAGGAAGAAGGAATATATTTTAAATTATTTTTTTTTAATGCAAAGTGTGAAGGACATAAGTAATGTGAGTCTGTACATGGAGAAGCAACTGTGGTTTAGACTTCTGCAGTGAGTTCTTCTGTGTAGAATTACTCAGATTTAGTTAGGTCTGGGAAGACAGTTTGCTTTGGGTGTGAGTTTCGCTTGTAGTGAGTTGAAACTTCTCTGCTCCCATGTGTTGCCTGATCTAGTTGAGAGGTGGTGTCCCTGGCGGCAGGGAGGCTGGATTAAAATGATCTCTAAGGTCCCTTCCAGTCTAGGCCATTCTATGATTCTATGAAAGATCCGTGAGGGAGGAGACTAGACATTTTGGACCCGTGGTGGATAGTTTAACACACGCTTCCCCCATGATACTGTGGCAAAACCTGGTACTGCAGTCCCTAGCTGTATAAATGATGGATGGCAAGGTGATCGTCAGCTCCTACTTCCAAGTAATCTGGTTTTGCTGAGGCCTGTTCTGGTATCAGTACTTCACTAAAACTGGCTCTCATCAGTCTCCACAAACTGGCAAGGGAATAGAAAAGGAATTTTATTGCAGGGCTTGAATTAAAATAGCTATTTCTGAAATAATTTGTTATTAGAAAAGAGTCATAACTGAGTAGCTTTATTAAAGTAGACAGCTCTTGTGTAAAGTCTTCTAAAGATTTCTTCTCTCTGGTGTATTTCAGCCAGAACCATAAGCTGAAAGCAAATACGTGTAACAATAGTGGTAAGAGAAGTCACGGGAGCAAACTGTATCAATAGGAAACGCATTTTTTATTTTTCAGAGAAAAACTTTCTGAAGGATAACTTTTAGTTAGTGTCAGATGCTTTACACGGGTATCAGGATCATTTCACTTGTCTCAGATCCTGAATACTGGACTAGCTGGTCTACAGCCTCTTATTTTGGTTTTAGATTCATGGATATGAGCACTGTTTTAAAAAAATAGCAGTATATATTTTGACAATTTAAATACAGTGATTTTTTTTTAAATTGTCTTTCTTTTTTCTTCTTTTTTTTCTGCCTCTGCAGTCTAGAGATCCTGCTGTCCAAGCTGCCATTCTTGCCCAGCTAAATGCAAAATACGGGTCTGGTGTATTACCAGATGCTCCAAAGGACATGAGTAAGGCAAGTTTCCATTTCTGTCTCCGTTATGTTCCTCCCACTGTCACCACTTGACTCTAGAAGCTTACGTCTGATAGTAGATGCAAATGCTTCATGTCTGGAAGTAGGTAGAGTATTATCATAGAAAAGAAACAGCTTTTTCTTTCTCAGGGAAGGGAAATCAAGTTTCTCTAGCAGTACGAAAACTAAACTAAGTATGTTTGTGACACGAGAGGGGAAAAAGCATTTTTTATCTCTGTTTATCTGGGCTGATAAGGGTTGGAGACTTACCTCTAGTTTTTATTTCAGGGTCAAGGGAAGGACAAAGATGTGAACTCTAAATCAGCCAGTGACCTCTCAGAAGATCTTTTCAAAGTGCATGACTTTGATGTAAAGATTGATCTTCAGGTTCCCAGTTCAGGTGGGTGTTCCAGCTGAGTCTGGGGATGTGATTGTCATGATGGTAGAGCTCTCTTCTTCCAGAAAGAGTTCTTTCAAAATCACGTGATGACCTGTTCCATAGTCTGTGTAATATATAAAGTATTTTTATTTAATTTTGAACCTGCTGCTTTACCAAGTTGCTGTTCCCTAACTTTGATATTGCAGATGGTATTGAAGCAAAATTTTAGGGGAACCAAATGACTGGGCAGGGAGTGAAGGTGTGCTTAGAGTCACAAACTTGCTGACCCTTCCTTTTTGTGATTTTGACTTTGAGAGCTTGACATGTATGGCAAGAACAGCACAGTGTTATAGAATCATAGAATCATGTAGGTTGAAAAAGACCTTTAAGATCATCAAGTTCACCACTAAGCAATGTCCCTAAGCAGCACATCTACCTGTCTTTTAAATACCTCCAGGGTTGGTGACTCAACCACTTCCCTGGGCAGCCTGTTCCAGCAACTGCCAACCCTTTCAGGGAAGGGATTTTTCCTAATATCCAGTGTGAACCACCCCGGCACAGCTTGGGACTGTTTTCTATTGTCTCATCAGGGTGTTTTCCAGTGGACAGAAAGCATGGGAGCATAGCAGTGCAATTTGATTCGCAAGGCTTTTTTTTAATTTTTCTTGCATTACTGGAAGCTGAAATTTCTTTGAGGACAACAATATAAGAAGTACTGTAAGAGCACACAAAGACTTAAAACCTTGTCAAGAGGGAGAGTAGGAGAGATTGTCTTTACAAACTAGGTCAGGATTGTAACTCGGTACGTCAGACTGCAGAATGAGGTGGAATGCCAAAAACGGGAGACTTCCTGAAGCAGATAGTGAGTTACAAACTTCAGAGAGCAAGCAGGTGAAGCGTAGGCATTGAAGGGCGCTGAAAACCAGGAAGGTAACTGAGAAGAGGTGGATGAGACACACACGATAGAGGTAGAGTTTTAAGTCTGGCTGGTTTGGTTTTTTTTCCCTCAGAACACCATTTTGGCATCTTGCTTCGTGCAGTCTCCTCTCTTATCAGAAGGACCTGGGGACTGGTTAAAATGTCTATTATAGACATGGATAGGGAGTTTGACTTCACTTATTATCTGTCTCTGTGCTTGCTGTTCTTATGGGGTACTAATGATTTATCAAAGATCCCAGAACTGAGCGTGAAGGCTCTGTTTGCATTGTGATTTCAGTATGCTGCAGAGTAGTTTTCTTAAGAAATGAAAGTATACTTGTCGGCAGAAAGCTGGATTAACAAACAGATTCAAAACCGCACGTGCTTTATCTCCGAAGATAAGCTACCAGATATTGCCTGTATTAAGAAACTGCTGTACACTAGAGAAGCCAAACATGATTTTGTGGTGAAGTTGTTGGCAAAAGCGCCAAGCGAAAATCTGTAGTTTTTGTGTATTTCAGTCCTCACTCTTTTCTTATCCCCAACAGAATCTAAGGCACTGGCCATCACCTCCAAGGCTCCACCAGCAAAAGATGGTGCCCCTCGGCGATCACTGAACTTGGAGGACTACAAAAAGAGGCGGGGGCTTATTTGAGCATGCCCGCTCTGCTGCTTCTGATCCTGCATGCTCCATGACGATGTCCTACCTTTTCTTCCTCCCTTTTCAGTTCTCCCTTTTGGGTTGGAGCAGCAACAGAGCTGGGAAGAGACTCTTTAAAACTGCCAGTCATCTGTAACATAAACCATTCAACTATTTACTGTATAGACCTCCCTTCTTGCCCTTTCTTCCTGCCCCCCTCACAAATGTGGATCTGTGCTATTTGGGGTTTTCCCATTTCTTTTAGTTTGAGTTTTTGTTTTTATTTTGTTGATGCAGCTCGTTGGTCCACTCTGTGTTCAGTATTAGCCTGAGGTCTGGATTTCCATAGGAGTCTCTTGGTGGTTGCAGAATCGGCACTTGGTGATCTCCCCTTACCTGCCACCACAGGCACGGTGAATAACCATTGGCGCAAGACCTTTGTGGCTGGAAGGTCATCTGCACTTTCTTCCTCTTCTTCTTCCTCCTTCATCCTAGCTTTGGAGAAGGGAATCTTCAAAAACTGGCTTAGGTTCAAAGTGTAAATTTTTTTGGGAGGGTCGTGTGACTTTTTTTCAGGTGTTTTTTATCATTTTTAAGCTGCAGTACTATTTGTATCCGTCTGTCACAGTTCTTTACGGCTGTTTTGAATTTCTACCAGCTGTACTTGAGCATCTGAAATTGCAAGAAAACATTAAATGTGATTCTTCTTACTAAAACGGCTTGGCTGATCTAGCTGTTTAACTTCATGTTCCATTTTTTTTTTCTTTTTACTTACACTTAATTGATGAAAGAGAGGCACACAGTTCCTGATGTGGGACTTGTCATCTGTAGAACGTCTGGAGTCTCCATCTGTAACTGAGTGGAGTAGCTTTTTCTGGGATAGCCCTGCGGTGCTCATTGGTTGGGCTTTAATTTCTTCTCCAGGCCTCCAATTTTACGTATTTGTTAAGTCATGTCTTCGCTGGGCTCCAGCTCACTTTTTCTTGCTTTGTTGAACCATTTAAATGGGGCTTCTATAAACAAACAAAAAAAAATTTTAAAAAAATCACTTCTTGTGGAAGGGGAAGGACACAGTAAGGACATAGTAGAAAGGTCGGTGGGTAATGTATGAGAGGTAGCTGATATATATTTTCCATATATAAATGGTACAAGTGGGATGCAACACTAACAAGAATTGTATGGCTTTATGGAATGTTTTACTGGACACAAGATGACAGCTAAATTATCACTCAGGTGTAAAAAAAAAAAAAAAGATAATAAAAATTAAGAAATCAAAATGTAAATATAAGTGACATTTAACAAAGAACTTTTCCAAACAAGATACAGCTGAATATATGGAGCTAAGAACTAAATTAAAAGAGAATTAGAAGTCTAAAAAGATAGAGGCCCTCGTTCAGGTAAGCGTGTGAGCACGTGTTTGTTCCTACTCAGGGCAGTACGTGTGGACTAATTGGACACTGAACTGGGTAGGAATGTTTCTGGGGGACCCTGAAGAGGGAAAATGCTGGTGCTCTTCTTGTGTCGGAGCATTACTGTTTTTCTGAAATCCTGCACTGGTTGCGTTGAAACCCGTGTTTGATACTCTCTTGTTGGATTCTTAATGCGACTTTAATCTAGTTCTTATTTGACTTTCTCTTCCTTTTTTTTAACAGTAGCTTTAAAGAAACGTCATGTAATTGTGTGCAGGTTGATACTATAAACTGTGTATAAAAAGAAAATCAGCCTATGAAGCAGCTCTTCTCCACCATGTAAACAAATAGTTAGAAATCGTTCAGTACTTATTTACTGAATAGTCCATAGTTCTAGGACACGTGGGTTATTCTGTAAATACGTAATCACAGACTGCTTTATTTGGCGGCCTATTTTTAGCAGCTTCTCTGGAGTTGTAGTAGGCTCTCACGTATGTATTTTTAACTTTTTAAGCCTGGATTTATGGAATCTACGTTGATAACTTCATAGTGATGTTGTGATTCACTCGTTTGATATGGTTTTGGTTTTTTCCACAGCTTCAACAATCTTACAGATTTGTAATAAAAAAAATCTAAACTTATTTTGCAATAGCCAGTTTTCAAAATAACGCTTTGCAGAAACAATTGCCAAATCAAGCAGTTCAGGAACTGAATTTTCCACAGAAATGCCTCAGAGCTCTGAGGCACAGTGACAAGTGGTCTCTAAAGGTAAAGTTAACTCAAATTCAGTGTTTTTAATACGCTTGCCCTTGATGTATTGCTTTTAGGCAACTTCTGCATTTGTTAACACGAGAATAGTCTGTGCCACAGCCAAAATGTTGAAGAGACCGGTACAGTGTTGCAAGTAACTTTTAGTGGAAATAAACTGAAACAGAGTAGATGCAGTGAGTTCAGAATGCAGATCTGAATGATGGACTGTGTCCTGGCGATCCGCAACTAGGAAACTGCCACTTACCCTCTGGAAGTCTCTGAATTCTGCTGAAGTACTCTTTCTAAGAGAGGCAACAGTCAGTAAATTATTGTGCGAACCTCCTATATTGAGAATGATACATGCAGAAAGAACTCTTGCATAGTTACAGAACTGTGTATGAAAGCTGTAATCTTTTTTCCTTTAAGTGCATGTAAAGGTGAGTGACTACACCTCCCACTCGTTAAAGAGGGAGAGATTTGTTTGCTTTGTTTCATTGGTGTCCTAGCATAGTTCATCACAATTGTACAGACTTCTATAAATAAACTTGGTTTGTTGGTTTAATAAGGTTGATTTGTTTATCCCTTGATCTGAGGTGCTAAGGGTTTACTGTCTGGAATATGTTTTTCAGAAACTTCATTTATCAGTCATGGCAATTTTAAACTGCTAGTACTGTAAAATAATTAATGAAAAGTATCCCCCTCCTTTTCAAAAGTAGCTGTTGACTCCTGGACCACTCTTTAACAACTGGAGTTGTTCCTTATCACTAGAATCAAGTGGAGCTTCTTGGAAGGTCAGTTCATTTGCACCTCTGCTGCATCTCACTAAAAACACAGGCTTCCCTCATCTTGTAGAAATCCAGACTTCAGTAATCAAATATACTGAAGTGTGTAGCTGAGCTTCAAGAAGTTGCTGAATGAGGTGAAGCAAGACTGTTCTCAGGGGGTGCTTGGTGGGGAGGATGAGACAAAACAGGCCAAGTTCTGCCAAGATGCAAGGAAAATATTTTTCATCCTTAGGTGCCGAGCGTTGGGGCTGAGCCAGCCACTGAACGCTGACAGATGTTGTCTAATGCCTCTCCCTCCCCATACGAGAAGGAGATTGAGCTGAAAAGTAAAATCACTGAACAGGATTGGTTCTGTTTAGCTCAAACCAGGACATGAGTACAGTCAGAGAGTGGACGAGGTTGCCCAGAGAGATTGTTCTGTCTCTGTTTCGGTGGTTTTCAAGAGAAGGCTGGATTAAGCCTCGGGTAACATGATCCAGCCTTGCAGTTTACCCAGCCTTGAGCAGGAGGGTGGGCTGGAGGCCTCTCTGATCTCCCCTCTGACCTGTGATTCTGTAGGTAAATTCATACTGCCTTCTCCAGTTTTGTCTGTCCTCCCTGCATGTACTGCCCCTTCCTCATCTCCCTTCCTACATGCAGTGCACAGATCTTGTCTCTCAGCCGTGGTGACCTACCATGAGCAGCATGGCATTTACCAACGCGCACGTCCTTTCTGCAGCTCTCTGGGTGGATACATCTGTGGAGTTCACACAAGGGCTGTCTGTGAAACAAAATTGTCTCCAGATTTATCACTGAACATGCTGGAAGGCTCAGCCTGTTACACCATACAATGAAGAACTGTAACTGAGATTTGCACAGCAAAATGTGTCTTTGGTGTGCTTTGGACAACAAAATACGTTTTGAATTTTCCTTAGGAGCTTTATTTAAATGCATGTGTTTTTAAGCTGCTGTGCAAGGTCACAGATTATCAAGGAATCTTTAGGATAAAGGGTCTTGAGGATGGGTTGACAGTTTTTAACTGGCTTCAGGAAGGATAGTCAGTTAAAGGAAAAAATGTACCGTGAAGAAATGTGCCTCACAACTAGTTTGTTCCTGTCAGAAGGTGGAAGCAGAAGGTGAGGACAGAACATAAGGAGTCTGCATAAATGCTTCAACTGGTTATACATACTGGCACGTGGATGTCATCTCAAATTTGGGCTTTGGTATCTGTTTTTCCCTCTAATCTTAGCTAGAAGAAAGTTAAATTTTCCCAGAATGCTTTAAGCTTTTGATTTTCAGGGTTCTTAAATTGTGGGGAAAAAAGTGCTGTAAATTTGATACTTAAACTACTAATATGTATGCAGTCTTACTGCCTTCATCACAGTAACTTACTTTTTTAGAGATGCTTAAGTAGTAAAAAAAATGGGTGAATTTTCTATTTTTTAATTTTAGCTGGAATGGTTAAGCGCTATCAGCTTCTTGAGATTTTAGCCCACTCACTGGGCTCAGTGGCTGAAAGGATATCATATGAGTGATTTCTTTAGTCTAATACCATGTAAAGTTATCTGGGTTTGAAAGAAAAAAAAAAAAAACAAGCTTTATTTGTGCTTTGTCATTTGGACTGCAGGGATAGTAAACAGAGAGTTGTGGTGGTAGCATCTTAAACTTTTCCACCTGTTTGGAAAACCAACCATTAGATGTTCCCTTGGGGTTCTTTGTCTTGACATCTGTCTAGATGTTAAAGGTTCCTGTGGACCAGCTATGTCAGGCCATAACAAGTCAATGTTCCTCATGTGCCAGCCTTTGGACACTTGCCTATTCTTCTTTACCAAGAAGAAGCAGTATCCAGCTAAAGAGTATGAGCAGTTAAGAAGATAAACTTGGAGCTTCCCTGGAATAGCTAAAATATTGCAACTATCTACGAGCCACAAAAAGCAGGGTGAGTATTGATAGTACTGATCATGGTGCATCTGGCGTTTTGTATTAGACCGTGTGTAGAATGCTGTGCCCAGTTTTTTTGGTTCTGCGCTTCAAGGAGGATTTCAGCCACGGTAGCAAGGTTAGTGGAGGATCCACTGCCATGGTGAGGGCCTGGGGCTTGTTCAGCCGGGAGGTGAAGATGCAGCGCTGTGATACCATGCTGCTGCTGGTAGCTACAGGCCGTAAGGTTAGTACTGAGCCTGCAGGGCCTCAGGACTGAGGCTTATCAGGCTTCCCTTTCTGGGCTTTTCTTGACCTGCCTGTAAGTTTGTTTTACTTAGTTTTGCTATAAAAATGATTTCTTCAACTGTTTTGTTCTGTTATTTGGGGTTTTTTTGTGGGGGGGTGGTGTTTGTTGCTGGTTTTAATTGGGTTTTGTTTGGGCTTGAGGTTTTGGGTTGGTTTTTTTTAAGGCAGAACTAGAACTGGACAAAGCAATGCTCAGGGAGTAATAGAACAAAAAAATTGTATCTAACATTTGTCATAAATTTGGATGTAGCATGGAGCCACAGACCAATGAGGACAGAGAAAGATGTAAAGGCATGTGAGCAAACATAAAGAGAACCCCAGGTGGATCCTAGAGGGAGGAGGAAAAAAGCAGCAGTGTATTGCTCCCAACAAAGGACTGGATGCTGACAGCTTCGTGTTACCTTTTCCAGCAGTCTGGAGCTATTGCCGTTGAGACTCAGAGGTGCAATAGAAGGGTGAAAATAATCCCTAGAAAAGAGGTAGAGATTGAGAACTGCATGTTACGATTTTAACTGTATTACCGCAACTACTTGACTGCATTATTATTATTTTTTTTTCCTGTAA